GTCTGCATGGGTTGCCCAACTAGGGTGGCAGGATGGAGAAACGTGTTTCACGTGACCACGATGCTGTCACCCTGTGTCATGAGTGTCTGTGGCCATTTAACTTGGACATTTAACTTCCACGCTGAGGACTAAGCACCTTGTTTTGGATGCACACTTTACCTCTCTAGCTGGCTTTGTGCAGGTCAGTGACCTCCAAAGAAAGTCTCTGGATTTATACTTGAATGGTTTGGGAAACACCTTTTCTACTGTTAAAAATCTATGCATTATTTGCGCTCCCTGACTAGCTGCAGGCCATTTCTATCTGCTGTGCTGGACCTAAAAAAGCCCTAGAGAGCCCCTGTGGATCAGGTCACTCCACAAACCTACCAGCAGTCTGTCAATCAGATTGGGATGGGTTTAAGTTGCACAGTTGGGGTTGTTTTGCTGTTACATGAATAAGAGCAGTCTTGTGAGTCAAATGCTACAGCTTTACAGGCAGTCTTTGATTTATACATTCATGGAAGTGTTGATTGGAGGAACCTCTGAATATCTATGGCTTTGGGTAAATCTTGAAAAACTTCCAAGGACTGCAGTTCTACAGCCTTTCTGGGCAACCTGTTCAGGTTGTGCACCACTGCCCTAGTAAAAAGTTGGTTTCCTAATGTCCATCCTGAACCTCTCAATTCACAGCCGTTATCTCCTGTATATTACTTGGCCCTACTGAGAAGTATTTCATTCCTGTTGCAATCACACATCAAGTAGTTGTATGAATTTCTTGGAATTCTTGTGGTTTCCTTGGAATTAAGATTATTCAGTGTGAAAAATAAGCTTTTTTGATTTTGTTTTTTGTTTTTTTTTTCTCTGCATCTTAGTATGTCATTACTTGGTGCACTAAAATGGATTTACATCTAGGATTTCATACATACAGGGAAGCTCGTTGACCATTATTTAATAGACTCAATTAACACAATTTTGAAATTGGTTAGGGTCAAAGATGTTAATTTACTTTTGCATGGCAGCCTTTTTTGGCTCCTGTGGCCAGCAGTGCTCCTCCATTCCATAGCCAAGTACTGGAGCAAACTGGAGTCTCTGTGAACTAGAGTCAGTGAGTGGTCTTCAGGTGAACTTGTGGTGGATGTCCTCGTACTATGGGGAAATCCTTAACAACACTGTTTTGCTGTTTTGTCCCTCCAAGCTGTGGGGCTCCAGGGTTCATTTTGCTGTTGGTTCTGAAATACCTGCCAGTATTGCCCATCGTGGCTTACATGGATTCAAAAGCAGTTCAAGGCAATTCCAGCTGGTAGGTGCTGTGTTAGTTGTCAGGAAGTTGCTTTCTCCTTTATGTGAATGTGATGAGCCACCCAACTTCTCCTAGACACAGCCAATGCTGTGGAACACTGACCAAGTCTGTGGGCTTAGTGGTTCTTTTAAGTATCAGAAGAGCTAAAAAGGTTTGTAGGACCATGTCTCACATGGAGAAACATAACATGGTTTCTCTATGGAGAAACACTGAGGCCTTGAACATTTGAAACCCCTTTATCACCTGGCATAAAGGGAGATGTGGTGAATCAGAGGCAGGTCTGCCATGCGCCTCTTCCCATGCATGGGGTTGTACCCAAAATGGAGAGCTGCAGGCTTGAGGATTCACATTTTAGATGGCTATTATTTTAGATCCTTACCTCCCCTGAAAAGTTCAGTACCAATGACAAATGGGATATTTCTGTGCATCCCCATGAGGTAAGTGCCCACTTCTGTAGGCACGGGTGCCCTGGCCTGACACCATACTTTGTGTGGGCGAAGGTGTAACAGTCAGGTTTTGAACCTGGAGCAGATCATGATGAACCCAACTTCAACCATGTTTCACACACAGAGATTGTTACCCTGTTACTCTGAGACAGGGCTGCTTTGTGGTTTTTTTTGTTTGTTTGTTTGTTTGTTTTTCTTAATTTCCAGGTGGCATTTAAGGTGTGAGCTGCAAAACCCAGAGCAGCTCCGGCTGTGATTACCTCTACGAGTGCCTTTCCCTCCTCTGGCGGTCACAGGCAGCCGAGGAGAAGCAAAAGCTGTCAGGTTCCTGCAGAGAAAGAGAAATCAGTGCTGGCAGAGTCTGTACGTGACAACTTATCTGCTGTGAAGTTTCAGTCCCTTGTTCCTGCTGGTGTGATCTGTTAACATAACATGCCTGAAATGTTTTCTTACATTCTTAGAGGTTTTTTTTTTCTAGGATGTGCAAAATGAAAAACATGGGGATATTTACTCCAGTAGCACAGGAGTTGTGGTGGGCTGGTTTTCTTGGGTTTTTATGTTCACACTCTATGCCATTGATTATGCTGTTGTGTTCTAAGATATGAATTAGCCACATAAACATGCCTGCGTTTATGTAAAGTTCTATGTTAAAGCTTATACTTTAAAACCTTTAAGAGATTCATAGATGCTGAGTAATTAAATGAAAAAAAGTCTCTTAAAAAAAGAAAAGCTGAAGTTGAAGCAGGACTTCTAGCAAATCTGTTTATTACATTTAGTGCTATCAATTGATAGCTGAGAATGCCTGAAAGCATGGAGGGTTTTTTTATATATATTTAGCTCTTTTTAATTCTCATTGTTCAATTTATATAAAATTCTTAGCTTCAGTCTTTTGTTATTTGCACTTGGGTAAATTCCTGCTTTACCTGGTCAGCAGGGAACATAAAAGAATCAGTGCTTTAACAAGATACACAGCCATGCCCTCTAGATCTTGGTACTGCTCCTGTTATCTCCCCAGCTGATGGTAAGGAAGTGCATTAAATCCTTACTTTCTCCCTGTGGTATTTGAAGACTTTCTTCAAATAGTAATAGGAGCACCTAAGTTGCATATGTACTTTGGATTAATTAGCGTTTTCCAGGATTAATATCTAGTAGATCTCAGATCAACAATTCTGTATATTCCTCATCAGACTTTTAATGACTCCAAGCATGTTGATAATTCCGTTTCAATGTGTGTAATTCTCTATTTACTACTTGGATGTTATTCTTGTCCTCTGCCACATACTCCTTTATCTTCAGTCCCCACTTTCTTTTCAGCTGTCTAAATACAGTCGCATCCAAGTTGTTCTGAGTGACGCAGACGATTGTGTGTGTGTTTAGGGGGCATTTAAAAACCAAAAAGATTATTTTAATTTAGTCCCTGAAGCAAGTGGTTTTATTATTAAGATGCAAAACCAGCCAGGTAATTGTTGGAGGTTACAGGACACAGAAATAAAAATTTACCCGATTGGTATTTTCTGTATAAATTCCAGTAGTCTCTAATTCTGGTATTTCACTGTTTTAAAGATGGATGTTCCAGTTTGTTAGCTTTTACAGGGGCAGTCTGTGATCTGATGGAGCTGTTGCTGCAAATACTTGCCCCAGTCTTTGTTGCTATTGTTTAAATCAAAATATTTAGATAGTTTAGAGCCTTGTATTTATAAACAAACCCTAAACAAAAAATCTGTCATCAGTTTTCTCTTGTTAATCATATTTTCACCAATATTCCTTTTTCCCAAAGTGGCTTAAGGAAAGAATTAACAATTTTATAGAGATGCTTTTTGATTTCCTACCTGATACATTGCTGATTTATAGGCAACCAGAACTAAATGTCTGAGTGTGTAGTCCTTTCTGTATGGTATTTTAATTAGATTTTATTTTTTTTTTCCCCATTAATTCTCAAGTTGTTTTCACTTCACACTAATCATTCCAGTTACACATATGTAATTTGTCATTTGGTGCATATTAAATCCTCTTAAGCTGCATTTCAAACTCTGATGCTGAATCCTGCTTCTGAATCAATTGTTCAAAAGAAAGTTCCTTCTTAAGCAGAAGCGTTAAATTCTCTGCAGAGTTTGTTTCCTTCGTTCAGCATTGAGAAGATTTGAAAAAGATGATTGTTCATCTCACACTTGTGATCTGCTACGTGGGGAATGTCAGCAAGCTCCAGGTCATTGCTTTGTTCCATCTGTGCCAGGCAACAGAGATATTGCTCATGGAAAAGCTTCTGCATCCATTTCTATCTCATTGCAAACCTGTATGGATTCCTGTTCAATAATTGTCTGTTAAAACCAGGAAAGGTTTTCTTTTGGATTAACTGCAGAAACACACTCACACACCGCTCGGTGGTTTGCCACTGCCTTGGTTTGGATAGTGGAAGCAACCGTTCCATGGATATTTTGTATTATCAGCTTCTTTCTCAAAGACAGACAAAGTTTGGAAACTGAGGATCTGTAGAAATGCCACTTTGCTTATCCTCTTTTTATGGGTAGATTTAGTGTCATTAGTACAGGAGAGATTATTGAGAGCAGCAGTAGTGACACTTGCAAAACAGTAACAGAGAAAGCAGGACCCAATATGGATGGAAGTATCTTCTCTTGCTTGTTTATAATAAAGCTTGTCCTGGCTGTACAGGGAGAGGAGCATCTCCTTCTCGTGGTTCAGTAGGCGGGAGGAGAAGGGGCATCAGGGCCCCATCATGTTACAATCCATTGATAAACCCTGGCTGGCAGCTGTTCTGAGCTGTGCAGAGCTGTGTGGATGGCCTGGCCTTGTGTCTCAGGAGTGTATCCTACAGCATCAGGCAGGGCTGTTGGGGAGAGGGGAGTCGGGGTCTGCGGCCTCCCTGCTCTCTCCCACAGCTCCAGCTCTGCCTGCAGGAGTCACTGGGTTGGAGTGCAGTCCCAGTTCTTCTTCCTCACCCAGCCACAGATCCCTTGTGCAGCCTTGCCCGGATGTCTCAGCTCTGTGAGTGCACTCCCCCTTGGGTAAGGCGGGACTGACCAGGCTGAGCAAACTGCTTTGAGACATAGGTACGAAGCTCCTGGCTGAATGTGCCAAGCAGCGTTACTGCCTTTCAAGTGACCTTTCGGTCTGAAACTTCGCCAAAGGGAGGGGAAAGGAAACCACCGCTGAATCGAGCTCTGTGCAGAGATCCTGCAGACAGATGGTGTTTGGATATAGGATATGCTGTTCGGGTGCAACTTTACTACAACACTCTTTGTTTTTAATAATTTCAGGCGGGCTAAACTCCGGCTATATTTGGAACAGCTAAAACAGCTTGTCCCTCTCGGGCCAGACAGCACCAGACACACCACTCTAAGTCTGTTGAAAAGAGCTAAGATGCATATCAAGGTAAAAACATTCATCCGTATTTTTATTTCTTTTAAAGCAAGATCTTCCAGAATGTGTATCCATAGAGAAGAAACTAATTTTCACACAAAATCCATATCTATATGTCAAATCTTCTGGGTATTTTGGCCTGTATTAGGTGCAGTGTTTTCAGTCACAGTATCAAGGTGTTGTGTTTTGCATTTTATCCTGCAGTGCCAGCAATACAAAATAGTGATTTTGTGATCTCTACTTAGTTGCTAATGGTTTACATTGTATTTAAAGAAAAAAACCAAACCCATACCTATAAAAGTTGTTCTTTGATTATTATATTTATTTTTAAAGATTGAGCAAAGTAGCATTGTTCTGCCTTGTTTTCAGTATAGAAAGCAAGATCCATTAATGATCAAAAAAAAGGAAAACGGAGTCAAAGGGATTATAGCCACTACTAAGCCTTATCCTTATCGTACATCTTGGTGGACAGACCCTGGATCATTTGACAATCATTGAAAAGAAACCAAATATGAAATGCCATCTCCTGTTAATTGTCACTCGCTTGCATGTTTCATGTGTGTAACAAGTTTAAAGCAACCACCAGCCCAAAATCTCACCTGCAATCCAGCAGCAGTGCAGGTTATACATTTGCACAGGTAATTCAAAAGGAATTATTCCTCAGGCCTCCTCTCTCCAGGGATACTGTCATTCCCATTTTCACTGTCATACTTTTCAGGGGAATGGGTTTACATGCGGAAATAAGACAGACAGATATTCAAATGTACAAGTTAAAGAACTGTTTTCTGCTGCTGTGTCCCGGACTGTAATTACTCAGCTGGTATTTTTTCAGTGTTACAGGGAAACAGGTCAAGAAAGAGAGGTTGAACATTGCCAGTAATCTTCAAGTATTTTGGAGAACAGCCTGCTCATTAAGATTCACTGCAGTTGCAGAAATGAGTGTAATTCATATGAAGAATTAAAAATCAATTTAAGCAAAACCATTCTTGCAAACAAGTTTACTGAGCTACTTTCTCAGCTCTTATAAGCACATTTACTCCAGCTGGGCAACCCCTGTTTTTACCATTTGAGATTTTGGCCTCTTGTTTATAATTCAGGCTAACATGCATGAAAGGCACTGCATGTGGTTTTTGTCTTGGGCTGCCCCCCTATCATGGGCTTATGCATACAAATTGAAAAACTGTTTTTACAAGTGGCAAGGGTAAGAGATTAGCCCTGTAGTTACCATTTCAGATGCTGATAAAATAGCTAGGAACAGATTCTGTCCAAGTCCATTGTGCACGGTACCAAGTACTCATTTTTCTGAGAACTGAAACTGAAGTTTAACTTTCTTCTTAAGATTTTAATTGAACCTACCCTAAAAGGCTTGCAACTTAATTGCTCCTCTTTTCAGGTCAGCTACCTCCCTGCTGCACTGCCAGAGCATGCCAATGCCCGTCTGACATTTCTAATACAGTCATTAGTCTTGAACTTCTCACACACCCCCCCCTATATATTGAAATTTTCCCTGAAAGAGTGGCCGGTTTTGCATCTCCTGGATATGAATCACTGAGTTCATTCCTAAAATAGTTGTTAAGAGTTTGGGATTGCAGCCAGGAAAATACAGGAAAAGGAAATCTGATCAATTGGGCACATTTGGTTTGTTGTGTATGTGAACGTACCAACCCCTTTTCTTATTATAACATTGTGTATCCACCTATGATGCATATCTGCATGGCGTCTTGCCTGGGAGGGGGCCTAACACGAGGCTGCAGAAGTTAGATTTCACTCAGCTGGGAAACTGCCCAGTTCAATAGTGGCAATTATTTTTTCAAGGATAAATATTTTTGCTGTCAGGCTCGCACTGGTACAGCAAAGCCTCTGGAACTGTTTTGCTTGCGGTTTGCTGTGCATTGTCCCACCCCAGTCTCCTCGGAAAGCCACGTATAGGTTCATTTGGTTGGTAGGGAGGAATTGTCAGCAGCTGCACTCACTCCCTGCACATCTCCTAAATCTCAGTGGTCATGTAAACACAGCTGACAGAAATTCGGTCTTTTTTACAAGTGCTTTTACTGCTACAACCTGTAATTTACTTCAGTGGTTAGGTAATTTTAAAAAATAATGTAAAGTGTTTTGATTTGTGTGTCCTTTCTGTGTTTGATCCCATCACATTCATTACACTTTCTTCCCTTATGATGTAGTCAATTTTTTAAATGCTTATCAGTGATTTGGAAGAGAATTCAGCTGAAATCTTAAAAGCTAATATTACTGTTATTGGATTTAGACCCAACAGTGCAGCCCATTTTACCAAGTGTGAAGTATTCTTTGTATTTCCAAATTAATACCTTCTTTTGTTCAAGCAGAGGGGAGATTTTGGGTAGGTGAGTGGAAGGATCCTTTCAAAGGCTGTTTGCTGAGAAGTTTTGGATTAATAGCACTGATGTTGTAGGAAGTTATCACAGAATTATCATACTTGCTCAGCAGAAGTTCAAGGGAAAAAAAGCAAGAATAAAGGGAATTGTTAGTGAATTCCTCCTGCTATAAATAATACTGATTATTGTTAATGAAGCTTTTTCAAATGCTAAAGATTTCCATGGCCTGCAGTAAGAGGGAGAGCTTCCAGGAGGCTCGCAATGGTTCCTTTATGGTGATGAGTCTGTTATTTCACCTAAAGAGGTTTCCCATTCTGACTGAAACTTGAGCTGGGCTCTAGGTATCAAAGATGATGTCAGTTTTGCCTGAAAGAATTATTTAAATATTCCCTACAACCAAGGCAACGATAATTCAGTCTGAGGGACTTTTTTTTCCCCTTATATTTATGTATCTTATTGTGAAACAGATTCAGCTCTGGGCTAGCCTGCTTTAATTGTATCGACCTCTGCAACAAAGATGTTTAAATTTAATGTCATTTTAGTTTTACACCAATTAAAATATTCAAATTGCTTTAAAATTGCTGATTATGAGAAGTCCTTAAGTTACTTAAGTTTTAACATGAATAAAACCGATCAGCTTACTCTCTTTCTCTCCTTCTTAAGAAACTGGAGGAGCAGGACCGAAAAGCTCTAAATATTAAGGAACAATTACAGCGGGAACACCGCTACCTCAAGCGCAGATTGGAGCAGCTCTCCGTGCAGGGCATGGAGCGTATCCGCACTGACAGCATGGGATCAACAATATCCACTGACTCTGAACAAGGTAATTCAAGGAGGGCTTCTCCAAGGGAGCTGCGGGAGCACGAAGGAAAGGGGAAGGAAGGAAACGAGAAAACGTTATTTAGGACTAAAGTCAGGCTTTCGACAAAACCCAGACAAAATTGTTCCATGACGCGATTTGCAGAGTACAAACCTGCTGCATCGTTTTTACATTACTTGGAAGGTGTTCTTTTTTCTCATCAGTTTTGATGCTGTTAATACTGCACGTGTTTTTAAAGCTATTTATACCGCGTAAGTTTTCAGCGGTTTGTCAAACAATAACCAGTTAACATTCTGAAGTTTTAGTGTAAATATTGGTAAGGCTGGCATAATACTTTTGTATTGGAAAAAAAAGATCTTACTGGCCTTAATTTGTGTGAATAAATTAATTCCACATAATTTGTTGTGAAATTTAAAAATATTTTCTGTGTAACGATCACCAAGTGTTCTCTACATTTGGTTCTCTTTTAAGACAGAGCTCTTCAAGCTGCCTGTCAGCATTTCTTGTTTCCTCATTTGAGGTTTTTCTGTGCCTGAACTCTCACAGGCTGACTGACAGGGCCAGTGGGAGCCGAGTTGTCAGTCACAGTGTGGTCACCAGTGGACAGATGGCTACACCATGGTCGCTGCTAGCCAACACCTGTATAGTGCACCGAGAATGGTGCTGCAGCATTTGGGTCTTTGAGGTTTGCTTTTTTTTTTTTAAATCAGTGTCTATGCACAGGTTGGAACAGTTCTGGGATGGCATTTGGTAGTGTCGTCATGCAGTATATTTATGTGGCTGAGGACAGAAGGGTTTGTAATTCTCAGGTGGAGAAGATAATCCTTTCCTCAGGCATGACTGTTGCAGTTCCTTTTTTTTAAATACAGAAGATGAAGTATGATTCAGTTTTCACCTGAATGTTGATTGACACTGGCCCATAATTAATTGCTACAACTGCTGGCTTTTCTGAAAATGTGCCTTCTTATGTTTCCTTTAGAAGTAGACATTGAAGGAATGGAGTTTACTCCAGGTGAAATGGACAGTATTGGAAGTGCCAGTGATGCTGAAGACCACTACAGTTTGCAGAGCGG